CTAATAAATAGCCTTAGGGGATTAAATAGTCCAGAGAAGAAAAGGCTTGTTAATCTAATAACAGTCTTTTATTCTATGATGGCTTATGAGAAACTGTTAGCCAAATGCTTTCCATCTTAGCAGAAAATAAATGAGAGGAATTGGATTTAAACTTCAGCGAAAAACACTTCAGATGGTCATAAGGAGGCACATTTTATATGACAATGGATGCTGTCAAGTTAATTTGCAATATTATAAAAACAAAGCCCATGTAATTTCCTCAGAAGCTTATATGAATGGATTTAAATCTGTCTGAGGCCAGATGGCCCCTTGTGATCCCCTAAAGGGAAGAAAGTCCTTTTGTGGTGCTTCTTCAGTGTGGTAAAGGAAGACATTTGGCCTTTGGTGTTTACGGAGACCATTTCACGGTGCCCATGAGACCAGTTATTGGAGTCATTGTGATGGAGAGTTTTCTATAAACCACTAAGTGTGGCAGGAGACATTGCTCTCATGTCCTACACAGAGCAGTGTCTCCCAGCTACTATTCTCTCCCTAATAATAGCTAGAATAATCATTATTTAATTCTAGAATTGTACAGTTTATAAAGTAATTTTACGTTTAATCTCCTGTTGACTTCATATTTGAGCCCTAGTAGTTTCCAGAGTAACCTGTGAGATAGACTCTGTCACATGGCAGTTCAGAGTCCTTTCCAATTTCATTCTATTCTATTGAGTTGCCTTTATCTCCCATCGTTCTCAGCAGTAAACTCTCATCACACTGGACTACTCATTATCTCTTGAATACCACACATGCTTTAGTTCCTCTATCTTTTCACTACACCACCCCTTTATATATATATATATATATATATATATATATCTTGTCTTTTTGGAGAACTCTGACTTAGCCTATGGTCAGGCCTACACATTACCTCTTCTGTAGGTAAATGTTCTCCTTTCCTTTCCTCAGCAGAACGTATTGTTCCTCTTTTGGGCACCCATATTGGTTTGATAATCCTATACAATATATTAGTTGTGTGACCTTTTATAAGTAGCTTAACTTCTCTGAGTTTTCCTTTCCTTATTTCAAATGCTTTTATGTCTTTCATGGAAATTCTATAAAATCGATATACCAGAGAATATTATATACAAATGTAATAGTTTAGTATTAATAGTAGAAATGTGAAAATAGACCTCAGATTATAGTTACAACACCTAGTTTTCTGTGGGTCTCTTTGATCCTTGAGGACAGCAATCCTGATGTTTTCATCTTTCTCTCCTAAACATTGAGTCCAAGTCCTGAAACATAATAAAAGAAATTGAATCATTATGAAGTAGGCAGGGGAGATACTATTATCATCAGTTTGCAGATTGAAATTAAGGTCCAAAATGCTGAGTGATATAAGGATTTAGTTATGTCCTGGCCACTTTTCCCTGAGTTTACCAATAGAACTTCCAAAGACTGCTGAAGGGCTTGTACCCTGACTCTACCTAGTATCAAGGGTGAGGTTTCTCAAAGTATTATCTGGGACTATCTGTCATAGACTGACTTCTGAAGATACTTATTAAAAATATAAAATCTCACAAATGTAATTTTGAGCAAAGAAAATCCAGACACACAAAATCAGAAAAGAGAGGACAGTACTACCAAATTTACAGAAATAAGAAGTATTATGAAGCAGTACTATGAGCAACTGTATGCCAACAAATTGGTTAACCTAGATGTAATGGACAAATTCCTAGAAATGTACAACCTACCAGGACTGAATCATGAAGAAACAGAAAATATGAACAGACCTAACTAGTAAGGAGATTGAATGAGTAATTTTTTTTAAAACTTCCAACAAAGAAAATCCCAGGACCAGATGGCTTCACTAGTGAATTCTACCAAATGTTTAAAGAAGAGTTAACACTAATCCTTCTCAAACTCTTCCCAAAAATTGAAGAGGAGGGAATACTTCCCAACTCATTCTATGAGGCCAACATTATCCTGACACCAAGTTCAGCAAAAGATAGTACAGTTGACCCTTGAACAACACAGGGGTTAGGGGAACCAAACCCCGTGCAGTCGAAAATCTCCATATAACTTTATAGTCGGCCCTATGTATCCATGATTCTGCATCCACAGATTCAACCAAGCTCAAGTGTAGTACTGTAGTATGTATTTATCGAATAAAATCCTAGTAAAAATGAAGGCACATAGTTCAAACCCGTATTGTTCAAGTGTCAACGGTACATGAAAAGAAAACTACGGACCAATGTCCTATATGAATTGTTTTTGTAATTTATTTATTTTGGTCTTAATTGCAGCAGGCGGGCTCCTTACTTGCGGCTCGCCAACTCTTTAGTTGCAGCACGTGTGCTACTTAATTGCAGCACATGTGCTCCTTAGTTGCAGCTCATGGGCTCCTTAGTTGTGGCATGCATGTGGGATCTAGTTCCCTGACCAGGGATCGAACCCATCTCACTTGCATTGGAAGGCAGATTCTTAACTACTGCACCACCAGGGAAGTCCCCCATATGAATATTGATGCAACAATTCTGAACAAAATACTAGCAAACAGAATTTAACAGCACATAAAGAGGATTTTACATCATGACTAAGTGGGATTTATTCCTTGAACGCAAGGGTGGTTCAACATATGAAAATCAATCAATGTAATAAACCACATTAACAGAATGAAGGGGGAAAAAACACAGTTACCTCAATCGATCCAGAAAAAGCATTTGACAAAATTCAACCCCCTTTCAGATAAAAACACTTAACAAACTAGGAATAGAAGAAAAGTACCTCAACATAATAAAAACCATATATGAAAAGCCCACAGCCAACAGCATACTCAATGGTTTGAGCCTGAAAACCTTTCCTCTAAGATTAGGAACACAAAAGGATGCCTGCTTTCACTACTCCTATTCAGCATAGTACTGGAAGCCCTAGCCAAGACAGTTAGGCAGGAAAAGAAATGAAAGGAATATGAGCTGGAAAGGAAGAAGAAAAATTATCTCTGCTCACAGAATACATGATCTTATATGTAAAAAAATCCTGCAGACAACACACACACACACAATTGTTAGAACTAATAAACTAATTCAGCAGAGTTGCAGGATACAAATCCACACACAAAACTTAGTTGTGGGGACTTCCCTGGTGGCTCAGTGGTTAAGAATCCACCTGCCAATGCAGGGGACACGGGTTTGATCCCTGGTCTGGGAAGATCCCACATGCCGCAGAGCAACTAAGTCCGTGCGCCACAACTACTGAGCCTACGCTGTAGAGTCTGCAAGCCACAACTACTGAAGCCTGCATGCCACAACTACTGAAGCCCATGAGCCTAGAGCCCATGCTCCACAACAAGAGAAGCCACCACAATGAGAAACCCGTGCACCGCGACAAAGAGCAGCCCCTGATCACCACAACTAGAGAAAGCCCGCGCGCAGCATCAAAGACCCAATGCAGCCATAAATAAATAAATAAATAAATAAAAGAATCTGCCTACCAATGCAGGGGATACAGGTTCGATCACTGGTCCGAGAAGATCCCACATGCTGTGGAGCAACTAAGCCCGTGCAATGCAGTTACTGACCCTGCACTCTAGAGCCTGCATGCCACAAGTACTGAAGCCCACATGCTTAGAGCTCACGCTCCGCAACAAGAGAAGCCACTGCAGTGAGAAGCCTGTGCACTGCACCGAAGACCCAATGCAGCCAAAAATAAATAATTTTTTTTAAAAAAAACTTAGTTGTGTTTCTATACACTAACAATAAACAATATGAAAAAGAAATTAAGAAAGTGACTCTATTTACAGCAGCATTAAAAAGAATAAAATAGGAATAAACAACCAAGGAGGTAGAAGACTTGTACACTGGAAACTACAAAGCGTTGTTCAAAGAAATTTAAAAAGATGCAAATAAATGGAAAGACATCCTGTGTTCATGGATTGGAATTCTTAATATTGTTAAGAAGTCAATCTACACAAAGTGGTCTACAGAGTCCGTGCAATCCCTATCAAAATCCCGACAAAAATTTTTTTTACAGAAGTCAGAAAATCCATCCTAAAATTCATATGGAATCTCAAAGGATGCTGAATAGACAAAATAGTCTTGCACAAGAACAAAGTTGGAAGTCTTACACTTCCTGATTTCAAAACTTACTACAAAGCTACAGTAATCCAAATAGTGTGGTACTGGCATAAAGACAGACATATGAACCAATGGTATAGAATAGAGAGCCCAGAAATAAACCTGTGTGTGTGCATACAAATGATTTTCGATAAGGTGCCAAGACCATTCAATGGGGAAAGAACAGTCTTTTCAACAAATGGTGCTGAGAAAACTGGATAACCACATGCAGAAGAATGAAGTGGACTCTTACCTTATGCCATATATAAAAATTAACTCAAAATGGGTCTAAGAGCTAAAACTATTATAAAATGGGGGACTTCCCTGGTGGCGCAGTGGTTAAGACTCTGCGCTCCCTGTGTAGGGGGCCCGGGTTCGATCCCTGGTCAGGGAACTAGATCCCACATGCGTGCCGCAACTAAGAGTTCACCTGCCACAACTAAGGAGCCCACGAGCCGCAACTCAAGTGTTGAGCCCATGTGCCACAACTAAGGAGACCATGTGCCACAACTAAGGAGCCCAACTAGGGCACCGCCTGCTGCAACTAACTAGGGAGCCACCTGCCGCAACTAAGACTCAGTGCAACCAAATAAATAAATAAATATTTTTTAAAAGATGGTTAAAATGGTAAATTGCACATTACATGTATTTAACCACAATTTTAAATTTTTTTAATTAAGAATTTAAAAACAGGGGCTTCCCTGGTGGCACAGTCGTTGGGAGTCCGCCTGCCGATGAGGGGGACGCGGGTTCATGCCCCGGTCCGGGAAGATCCCACATGCCGTGGAGCGGCTGGGCCCGTGAGCCATGGCCGCCGAGCCTGCGCGTCCGGAGCCTGTGCTCCGCAATGGGAGAAGCCACAAAAAAAAAAAAAAAAAAATTTAAAAACAAGATACAAAAAAGTATATGCTATATGATTCCATTTATTTAAGGTACAAAAATGAATCTGTGGTGTTAGATGTCAGGACAATGGTTAGTTACCCTTGGGAGAGGAGAATAACTGGAAAGAGGCATGAAGAGGCTTTGGAAGTCCTGATGATGTTCTATTTCTTGATTGGGGTGTTATGACATGGATATATATATATATATATATATATATATGAAATTCTTTGAGCTGTATATTTGTGATTTGTACAGTTTTCTATGTGAATGTTACACTTCCAAAAGATTCCAAAAACGTAAATCATGAACCCCACAGCAGACTATACAGAATCAGAATCTCTGAGGATGGGACCTGGGGACCCTGCATTTTAAAAATCCCCCTTCCAAGTTTTTCTTAAGAACATTGGATGCTGCAGATCTTTGCTAAAGGAAGAGAATTAGGTAAATATTTTTCCAGTGCCCCAGGATTCTTCAGTTGTACCCTAACAATAAATATTCCTTAGAAAAGAAATTCTTGATATCCTTGAGTCATTTAACTTCTCCTGTTAGGAAACTCCACGTCATCTTTCAGGTGCTGAGAAAGAGAACTAAAAATAGTTAACAGCATATAGAAATGTAGAGTTTAATATATTACACTTAAAAATATGATTTCTTCTAATTTGTCAGACATACTATAACTTAGGAGTATTTTATTGACGCCCTCTGAAAAATGGCAGGTGCTAGGACCTAGTGGAATTCAGGCAACTAGGGTAGGAGGTGCACCCGGGGTGTGGTACAGTGCAAGCAAGTACAGAAAAGCCAGTTCTTCCACATGTAAACTACTTAGACTCCATTTCATCTCTCTCATACCACCTCCAAGATTTCAGCAGCCTTTACCCTTTACCCTTTCGGTAAACCAAAAGCGTGTTTCTTGCAAAAGCTCTGTTGGAAGGAGCAGATCAAGGTCAAGGTCTTGGACAAGCTCTTGGAGACCTTCTTGGAGGAGGCAGTCAGAAAAGTAGAGGAGCAGGAAATATTGGAGGAATAGTTGGAGGAATTGTGAATTTTATCAGTGAGGCTGCAGCTGCTCAGTATACCCCGGAACCACCACCCACTGAGCAGCATTTCACCAACGTGGAGGCCAATGAAAGTGAGGAAGTTAGGCGGTTTCGGCAACAATTTGCACAGCTGGCTGGACCAGACATGGAAGTGGATGCCACTCACCTAATGAATATTCTCAACAAAGTCCTGTCTAAGCACAAGGATCTGAAGTCTGACGGCTTTAGTCTTGACACCTGCCGGAGCATCGTGTCCATCATGGACAGTGACACAACTGGAAAGCTGGGCTTCAAAGAATTTAAGTATCTCTGGAGAAACATCAAGAAATGGCAGTGTGTTTATAAGCAATATGACAGGGACCATTCTGGGTCTCTGGGAAGTTCTCAGCTGCGGGGTGCTCTGCAGGCAGCAGGCTTCCAGCTAAAGGAACAACTTTACCAAATGATTGTCCGCCGATATGCCCATGAGGATGGAAGTATGGATTTTAACAACTTCATCAGCTGCCTGGTTCACCTGGATGCCATGTTTCGTGCCTTCAAATCCCTGGATAGAGATGTGGATGGCCTGATTCAGGTGTCTATCCAAGAATGGCTGCAGCTGACCATGTATTCCTAAAGTGGGCACTAAGTCGGGACTACCCTGGGGGACAGGAGTGCTGGAAGCTTAGCCATGCTCTCTGCACGGTTGCGGTTACCCCATCCAAAGCTGTCATTTCCTGCCGAGTTCTTTCATAACCTGACCTATTTCTGAACTTGTGCTGCCCTTTACTGCTTAATTAAACAGATTTTTCATGAAAAATATTCTGAGTGGTTTGTATGTAGGCTTTTTGAGACACAGGATTAATATGGACTTATATATGTGATGGGAGTGCAAGGCAGGCTCTAATGGAGTAGATTTTAATAGGTCATTTCTTATTTGGTGAATGAATTCCAAAGAGCAGGAAAGCTGTTGTTGTTATTGTTAAGAATGGAATTTTGAAAAAAATCCTGGAATAAATCAAGAAAGCTCTCAGGAGATACATTTTTTTCCTTTAAAAAAGGTGAGGAGGCAGGAAATTCAAAACCTGTTTTTCTCTTAATTCACATCTGGTCTATTACATTTTTTTTTTAAAAAAAGTGTTTTCCTGGTAACCCGCATAACTGTATAGAAACAGGTTCAGAAATGTGAAATTAAGCAGTTTTATAAAAGGTAGTATTTTTTTAAATGGTGGAACAACTATCTAAAATCTAGAATTCTTTAGTCCCTTTTCTCTAGCAAAATAAGCATGTAACAGTTTTGTTTTTATATAATTGTAAAGAGGATCAGGGCATTGGGGAATGAAAGAGTGTACTTATAGTTGAAATGTCTCTGGTTGCCTTAATGAATCAAAGTGACCGCTCTTACATGTACTTCAAAATCAGGCACGCCCTGCTGATGTTAGCCAGCTCTTGTCATGCCTTGCCCTGCCTCAGAGCAAAGAATATTCTTTCATTTGTTTGAAAACTGCAGACAGGAGAAAAAGTAAACAAAGAAAATGTACACAAATCATAACCAGTTATTTGGTATCTAAAGCGATAGAGAGATGTATAAATATATATAAATGTTGCTGAGTCTTTATTGCAGTGGTTCTCAGCCCTGACTGCAATTTAGAATCGCCGGGAGAGCTCTTGAGCTGAGTCCCACTCCACATGAGTTAAATACAAATCTTTAGGGGTGGAGCTCAGAGATGAGTAGTTTTTAAATCTCCCCAGGTGATTCTGATGAGCAACCAAGGTTGACAGCCACAGCTTTAAGGTTAGTCTGTCTTCACTGTATTTTTCATATTAGACTCAGCTGAAAACTGAGGTCCCCACAGGAGTCAGTGTTGCCAGCTTCCAAAAAAAAGGAGATAGGAGTATGGAGAAACTGCCACCCAAAAAGCAGGGGTAGTTGCGCCTTTCTTGTGAATGGCCCTTGGTTTGGCTTTTTCATTTTGATTCAGGTGGTGATAACGGGGCAAAGAGAATCCAGGAATCCCCGGCCAGTAGACTCAGTTCGAGAGGCTGCATTTTCAAGTGCTCTGTTCATCTGCCTATTTAATTGGTTTCTACCCTCCTGCTTCTCTGGGTTTTAATGCATTCCCTCTCTCCCAATCTACTTTGGAGGATCATCCTGAGTTTGAAGATAAATCCTTCCTTTTTGACTCATTTAGAGGAAAGCTGTAACTGTTGAAATGATGTAACTGGCCTGTTAACAGCCCTCAGCTGCCTGTTAGAAATCCCCAGTGAAAATAGGACAGGTTGGCATTTGGCCTCTGTGGACACCATTATCACCATCATATAATATTTATGATATACCACATGCATGTAATTCTGAATTGAGCCAAGCCTAGAGATCACGTCCGCTTTCCTCAAGGGACTTGTAATTTAAACTTGGTCTGGGGAGCTACTTAAAACAGGTGTGGTTATATTAGAATGAGGCTGCAACCTCACATTAATATCAGGATCCCTGTTTTAGAATATGGCCACTAGTATGTTAGGCATGGCTGTAGTAATATAGCCAGGAAAGGGGAAATCTGCCAAGATGCCTTTTAAGGTCTCAGAATATTAAGTTTATAATTTAACCTTTCCACATGATGGTTGGGGAAAAGAAAACGTAGCCCCACTTTTCTCCCCTCACTTCATTTTAAATGTTTTATGAAAGTTAAGACAATTATCTCACACTAGGGGTGGTATTAAGTATTTCTCTTGCTCTTCAAGTTAAGGGATTACCTACTTTTATGATTCTCTTCCTGCATGCATGGGGCAAAACATCCTGAAGTTACCTAAGTTTCTCTTGTTCTTTTCTGAATTTGTGTAAAATTGGACAAATAACCCCAGGCACTAGAGTGGATCCCAGAAAATTTAATCCAGAGTCTGGATTTTTCCAAGTAAACAAACCTTTGGCATTGTGTAGAACCAATAGCCTAACAAGTGATTGAATTTCTTAATTTCCATCCAATGGGGTTTTTTGTTTGTTTGTTTTAGTTGGTGTTTTAAAGGCACATCTTCAGTGTAAGAGGGAGTATTTACCTGATAATTTTTTTCAAATGTTGCCTTTTCTACATGGAAGACTACTGATAGCCTAAGATGAAGGGCTTTCATTAATATAACTCCATCTCATTTTCAAATTTCTAAAAGCAATACAATCAATGTAGTAAGTTGAAAATAATAATGATTTTGTTTAAATGTGAAATTATACATCTACATTTTTTAATTTCAAAATATCCCATATGATTTTGAAAAACATCTTAGTCTTGATTTAATACACTGAATTCTGTAACCTATAATAGCAGGAAAAAGAAGTGTGTTCTGTACCTAAGAACAGCAAATGTCCAAAAACATTCAAAATTTGTATATCATCTTAAAGGTCACTTTTAAAATATTTTTTGAGTCATAGTGCATGTGATTTAAAAGTTGATTTATGTATCAACTTCAATCAGAAATTTCATCAGTAATATTGCACAACTAACCCATAGTCAGGCCTTAAAAAATATTTGCTGAGGCACCTGCAGGGCACTGATACTTAATGTACGTATTAATCTTGAAGTGCTTTCAGAATTACTTTGTTTTAAATGTCTATTTTTAATGCTAAGTGGATTAAAACAATTTAATTCCTAGAAAATTGATAATACAATTATGCAGGTGGGTAGAAATATGCTCTAACTAAGAATATTGAGGTAAACAGAATACCTCTTCCCTGACTCTCCTGGATAACTGAGAATTTATTGAATTTGAATAATAATACTCTTCCTGAGGAGTTCCATTAGTTTTTAAAGGAAAGAACCACAGCTTTGAGGAATAATTTTTTACCATGGGACTGATTTGAATTTGAAAAATTAAAGGAGTGTATTTTGCTGTATACTTTTTTATTATCTGTTTTTGAATATATTTTATCAACTTGCCTGCTTTAATTTGAATGATTGGGTGTCAGGTAAATGTTTAGGTAAATGTTAATTGTCATTGTGGCAATAGTGAGTTTTGTGACCTCAAGTAAAACTTACATCTCAATTTTTCATTAGTAAAAATGAAGAAGTTGAACGGATGATTTCTAAGATTCCTCCCAGTTCTAAATTTTATTATTCTGAAATTGGAACCTTAAAATGTATTATTTTATTAGTCCTATAATGAAATCTCTCAGAATAATTTCTATGCTGCCTTTTGTCCTTCACATTACTAGGATGAAAACTTACATATAGTTTCTCATGTGATTGATTATCAAGAGTCTGCTTTAATATTCTTTTGTCGGTCAAAGCCACTCATATAAAACTGTTAAAGAAAACCAGGGGTCCAGAATATTACCTTTATTCATGAATAGCAGTAATACTAAGGGTCCTTTACATTTCTCTTTCTCCATCTGAAAAATAAGCTATAATGCTTGACCTGTATTATACATAGGGTCCGGTAATATAGATAAAAATTGGATGCCTCACAATAAATCAAAGGCGTATTTCCAATCATACTACCTATGACCATATCCTCAGTGTCCATAGATCATTCTTTTTTTTTAATTTATTTAATTGAAGTATGGTTGATTTACAATGTTGTGTTAATTTCCACTGTACAACAAAGTGATTCAGTTATACATATATATACTTATTTTCATATTCTTTTCCATTATGGTTTATCACAGGATATTGAATATATTCATAGGTCATTCTTATATCTATACTTCAGAACTTCTTTTTTTTTTGAATTTTAGAATTTTATTTTTTTTATACAGCAGGTTCTTATTAGTTATCCATTTTATACATATTAGTGTATAAATGTCAATCCTAATCTCCCAATTCATCACACCACCACCACCACCCACCTCCCCGCCATTTTCCCCCCTTGGTGTCCATACATTTGTTCTCTACATCTGTGTCTCTATTTCTGCCCTGCAAACCGGTTCATTATACTTCAGAACTTCTATTCAAGACTTCTATGTTGCTTAGTGGAGAAAACCAATTGCAGAATAAATTTACCTTTATTGAGCATATATTCACGGTACCATAAGCTGTTCAGCCTCTAAGCCCTAATGAACAACAGCCCTCCATAGTACAGAAGAAAATTAAACGTTAGTGGCACAAGGAAAATTATGTCCCTTAAAACTCTACCTTCTCTGAAACTTCTGGGGTGATGAAAATATCGTAGCTATCAATTGTGATGGTGGTTACCCTGGTGTCTGCATTTTTTCAAAGAACATCAAACTGTACACTTAAAATGGATGCTTTTTATTGACTGTAATTGATACCTCAATAAAGTCGATTAAAGGAAAGGCAGAAAACAGCTGTCTTAGAGGCTGGTAATCAGACAAAAATGGAAGTCGGATGACCTGAGTTTTAAATCCTAGGAAGAAACCCTGTTACTTTAGGGAAATCTTGAATCCTCTGTTTCTACCTTCTCCGATGAGAAAGTGAAGGTAAATTATTCCTTTTTAGTTCCCACCCTGCAGCAAGATAAAGTAGTATGGTGACAGTGGGTCTTGGTTGCTTTGAGAAGCTGAGGAAAGCTACAAGATATTTTTTCCCTAGAAAAATGTACATATAAAAAGGGCTGGGACTTCCCTGGCGGTCCAGGGGTTAAGACTCCATGCTTCCACTGCACGGGACACGGGTTCAATCCCTGGTCAGGGGTTAAGACTCCACGCTTCCATTGCAGGGGGCAAGGGTTTGATCCCTGGTCAGGGAAATAAGATCCCGCATGCCCTGTGGCTCAGCCAAAAACAAACAAACAAACAAAAAGGCATACCCTTTCAGAGGCTTCACAGCCTTCCCTTTCAAGCTCATCTATGAAACCCCAGTGAAAAACACTGCCTAAGTGTCTTAAGGTGAACCCAAAGTATCAATAGTAGGTGAGAGTAGGTGAGGAAAAGGTAGCATCGTTTTTTAGCACCTACCTGTGTGTGCTAGGCAATGGGAATACACTGCACAGAGGAAGGCAATCCCTGCCCTACAGGAACTCTTGATGGTTGAAATGTAGATACTTAGTCACAGTTACAGATTACGCTCTTATCAGTGCCAAACATCTGCTAACCTATCAAGTATCACACTTAGCTGTGTTGTTACTAGTTCATAGTTCATCTGGCAACATGAAGATCTTGCTGCCAAAATGATTCCACACCTGGGATTATAATCATTGAGCTTATTGTCCTCTTCCTTTCTCCCTCCTCCTCCTCTCTTTCCCCCTCCATCTTTCTCTTCCACTCTCCATCTCACTTTTCCTTTCTCCTCTTCCCTTTTCCTTCTTGTTCTCTCTCTTCTATCTCTTCCTTCCATCCTCCCTCCTTCTCTGCCTTGCCTCTCTCTCCCTTTCTTCCTCTCTTCCTTAAGCTTTCTCTCCTTTCTCCCCATTTCATCTTCTCAGTGTTCCCATCTAGGTGAGTAGTTCGTGTGTAGGAAAAACTCTGTATTCGGTCAGCATGGATTAGAATTATCAACCCCTTCTTTTATAATACCATCAAGAAATACCTGCTGCAGTGTATAGATATAAACATCATACGAATTACGTTTAGTTTCCAAGGCTTAGAAGTGCAGGATCTTCCAGGGCCCGATATCACTAAGGGGCCCTTGAAGTTGCTCGAGTTTGCTTACTTTCTCCTGCTTTATTGCAGAGTAAGTACAGAAAGGAGAAAGAATGTAGCTGTGATTATTGCCTCAATTTGCCCCTTTCCTTTCCCTTCTATCTCCTACATGGAGAAAGTCTCTTAGTGACCCACTGGTGTTGGCCATCATGGCAGGCCCACCATCGATGGTGGAAGGAAGGCTTCAGTCCCACCTAGGATGAAATCCCCCATCCTGCTTCCCAGAGAGGCTCCCATCAAGGCTGAGCTCAAGAACCCACAATGAGTGCCATAGAGCCAGTCTAAATGAGCCTCAGTGATAAAATGTTTATATTGATCACTCAACAGGAATATGTTTTTCTTCCTTCTGAGTTGGGAATAGGTGGGCCACTCACTACTGTTCTATCTCAGTGCGAACATTTTCCCAAATTGGCTCAGTGCATGACGAGGCTGAGCTGCGTGGCATGTCTGAATTTCACCTTGTGGGCTGTGATTAATAGTCATTCAACCAGTGGCCCTGCTAACTGATTTCTCCCATCCTTTCACAGAACCATGATGGCAGTATCGACTTCCGAGAGTATGTAATTGGCCTGGCTGTCCTGTGCAACCCTGCCAACACAGAGGAGATCATCCAGGTGGCATTTAAGGTACTGTCAGCCCCACTGAAATCATCTTGGTCTGTCTCGTAAACAAGTGTTGACTCTAAGTGTATTATCTGAAAATCAGTGCATCTATTACGAGTGTTTATAGATCTGCTGTGACATGTACACGAGGGCAATGTGATTAAGACAATCGCTACCGAGAATAAAGAAAAGACAAGCATCCATTTAAGCAAAAAGAAAGTCTTTGGAAGCAGCCTAGTTAACAGCATTAAAATTGAAGAGCAGGTGATTTCATAAAGTAGTTTAAAAATTATTTCTTTTCAGCCTCCCCATTTTGGAGCCCCAAAGTGAGGTTTATAAATAAACACCACCTGTCTATAGTCATCCCAATTCACCAGGCAGAAAGTTCTGATCCATCCTTATTTTCTCACTCTGTATGTCAGAGATATTTTAGGTGATCTTTTCCCGATGGAGTTTAATTTGTTGTGGTGGTGTCAAGTGAATACCATCATAAATGTCTCAAGTTTCCACCCTATGTGTTTTCCTGTGTATCACATACATTGTCACAGCAGTATGGGGGGTTGAGGGGCAGATGAATAAAATCCATGTCCCCCACCCCTAGCAGAACTTAATGGAGGTTTGAATTATGAGAACTCAGATTCCATTTTATCACTTATATATGCAAAAAGGAGAGGGAAGAGTACATTCCCAAAGTGTGTTTTGGTTCTTTGGAGATGAAACGTGCTTTATCTAATTAGTATTTGAATGGGATGTTCCCTTCCATATTCTAATCTTACATGATCTGCTCTCAAGTAAAACAAAAACTTGATCTCACTTACCAAGCTGTGTATGTGGAATCTTATTGTACAGGTCTTTGAGTCTCTGCTTCATCCACCATAACAGCTGAGGGCCTTCCCCCATGCCTCTTTCCTACTCTTATTTCTTCCTGATTTTCTCTGAGAAGAATATCCCACTGTGTCCTCAACAAGTGTTGTCCCCTCTATCATCTAGAAAGACTCTCTTCCTCCCAGAGTCCTTTCTCATGTCTTAGAGGCCACCTGGGTTAGCCTCACGAATTTCCATGTGTTCTATCCTTGACAGAGGAGTCCCCAGGTTGACTTTTTATTTCAGATTGGTTTCAACTGAGTTAACTGCTAGGCCTATAAAGAACCTAAGAGGTTGATGCTTAGCAGATGGTCTCAAGGCAAGGGCCAGAACTCTTTCCAAGCTGAAAACTTTTACAGACTGATTCATCATAAAACCTAAAATTATACACATAGCTAACTTATTCCAACCCAGACATTTCTGTTTCTGTTCTGAGATTGTCTGTGTGATTATAAGGTCAGCTGGGCAAGTGGTCACTTTGGGTTTACCAATGAAAGACCTGATAGAAAATTTGGCCCTTAATCATAGTAATTATTGTCTTTAAAGAAATCCTGAGATTTTTCTCTAGCCTAGACCTTGGTTTTGAGGGGGGACAGGGAGAGGAAAGAAGGACCTAAAACTATAATTAGCTCTTTTCTTCAGTAAAGCAAGTGTCATGTTTTACTTTGGTTATTTTTTTATCCTTCTCGGGGTGTATGATGTTCTGGTTTTTTTGTTTTGTTTTGTTTAAGTGTCTAAATGCCTATTTTATTTTATTTATTTATTTATTTATTTATTTATTTTTTGGCTGTGTTGGGTCTTCGTTGCTGTGTGCAGGCTTTCTCTAGTTGCGTCGAGCAGGGGCTACTCTTTGTTGCGGTGCACGGGCTTCTCACTGCAGTGGCTTCTCTTGTTGTGGAGCACAGGCTCTAGGCATGTGGGCTTCAGTAGTTGTGGCTCGCAGGCTCAGTAGTTGTGGCTCACGGGCTCTAGAGCGCAGGCTCAGTAGTTGTGGCGCACGGGCTTAGTTGCTCCACGGCATGTGGGATCTTCCCGGACCAGGGATCGAACCCGTGTCCCCTGCATTGGCAGGCAGATTCTTAATCACTGTGCCACCAGGGAAATCCCTGTATGATGTTTTTGAAAATTATTTTGGCATGCTTCTATTTTTCATTTAGTAGTATCATTTTGTATATATACAGAATGCATTCACATCCTTTTATTTGGGTAACACTTCACAGTTAACTTCCCATCTTTGATCATATTTCATCATCACGGTGACCTTTAGAGGTAGAATATTAGTCAGCATTCTTCAGTTGTAAGCAGCCGGCATAGACTCTGGTGGAGGAATCAGTTGTGAGGACAGCAAGCAGGCTCCAGGGAATACTCCAAAGCAGGCAGCTCCAGAGGTCCCAGCTGCGGGAGCTGCTCTACATCTCCCTTGGGCACTGCCGTTAGAGTGAGCAAACTCCAACGCTGTTCATCATTCAAATTCCAGGCAGAGTCCAAATGGTCTTGGACCATGTGCTTGCTAGGAAAGACAGGATGTTTTGATGCAGAGTCCCACAGCATTCCGTGCACTGGGGAGATATCGCTCCCCCATTCTCCAAGGAAAATGGGGTGTTAAACCTTCTACCAGAGCCCAGAGCATGAGATTTACCTTAGATCTGGGAACTCTGGGGTAGGGAGGCTATTGGGAGCGATGAGGAATTGAGAGAAATGGAGGGGTTTTCGTGGGGTAGTTGTGACAAAGGACAAATGGAGAGGAAGTAAAAGTCCCCAGAATGGACGTGTGAAGGAAACTTATACAGATGGAAGAGCCATCAAAGGACCAAATTTAGTTGATTTGATAAGTTGGTGAGAATTCTTTAGGAATGGAAGACTTTTACAGAAAAATTAGAGTTTGTGAGAAGGTGGGGGGAGGTTGTGACTGAATCCTGGCAGTTAACGCCTGAAGTCCAAGGCCCATAAAGAGCCCCGGGGCTACTGTTGTGAAAACAAATGCTAGCTAATTCACCTTGCGCTTTCCAGCTATCTTATCGTCCATTTAGGGGCTGAGTAGTAGAAAATGGACTAGGCGTCCCGTGCCTTCTTATCTGGGAGCAGCAAATCACATCTTCGAATTATATTCTTCTCCTCCCACCCTAGTGGACAATTAAAACACTATTCAGTATTTGCTTATTGTTCTTTTCATGATTATCACACCTTATCCAATGCCTGTTTTTGATCGTGTATTTGGTCAGAAGTGGATACCTTAACAGCAGGAACTGTAGATATCTGCCTGCATTTGGGCGACAGCTTGACCATTTACAAGCTGTGTGACCTTGGGAAAGTTACCTGGCTTCCTTGTTGCTCAGCTTTCTCATCTGTGAGATAGGGCTAATAACAACACCCCCCCTTACATAAGACTATTATTAGGGTCCAATGAGTGTGTAAAGTGATTTGAACATGTTGGATCAGTGCCTGCAAAGAGTCAGTGTTGATATCATGAAAAACTGTTAATACCCTGGAGAGGATTATGAATATGGCATATTAATTATCTATCAGTTACCCCTGCATTGCTGCTTGACTTTCAGACTATCCCACCCTTTCCCCTCTGCCTATAAACATATTGTCTCTCCCTTCCTGAAGGCAGCCTCCTTTTGTACGTGGTTATTACCCCCATTTATCTCCTGTGCTTTATTCTATAATTTCTTAAAAGAAGAGCCATGCCTGTTGCCTCCACGCCTCACCTCTCTATTCATTGCTTGATTCCCGTTACCATCTGTCGCCAGGATCTCCTAATTGCCAAATCCAGCAAACCTTCTTGCTTCTTGCTTGGCCTTCCTATGCCATTTTATTCTGTTGGCCATTACCACACTCAGAGTTTCTTCCTCTTTCCTAAAAACCTTCCCTAGCTTCCAAGATGCATGCTCTTTCTTTCTGCTTCTCCATCTCTCTGGCTGCTGCTTCTGAGTTTTTCTGGCCGGTTCCTCTTCCCTGCACACACCTCAACTCTTGCTGTTCCCAGGGCTCTGTCTTACTTTGTGCACTTTCCACAGAGAAGCTCAAACACACTTGTAGTTTCAATCTTTACCTGAATTCATATCTGAAGCCTCATCACTTTCCTGAGCTGATGTGCTCAATCTTAACTTCCTCCTGGCACTTCTGACTCAAATTTAAGCTCTCCAGGTCTAACCCTTGATCTCATTGGGAACCTGTTTTCCCACTCTTGGTAACATAACCCTCCTTCACCCATTTGCCCAAGCTAGAATCCCTCAGCTGTCTTTAGCTCCTTCTTTTCCATCACTACAGACCTCTAACTGATATGTAAGTCCTGTCTTTGCTTCCTTATAAATTCTGTCTCTTCCTGCCCTTCCTGCTTCTCCACCCCAGACTCTTAATTGTTCATGCCTCTAGTCTTTTCAACTTTCTGCCCTCTCTCCATCCTCCACACTTTGCCTCAGAGCTCCCTCAGTTCACAAGCAATCACCCCACAGCCCTTCCCATCATAATCCTGCAGGGGTAGATGAGGCCTTATATGGCCGTCATGATCTGATCCTTGCTTGTCTTTCTCTCTCCTGACTTGAGCCCCAGGCAATTGCCTGCCAGTACTTGTATGTTCTGGGAATATCTCTTCATGTTTTAAGACCCAACTCAAATGTCATAAAGCATTCCCTGACCTCTCCAGGTAGGATTCATCTTGTTTACACAGGACTCCCATGTGCTTTTGTACTTACTATGGTTATATCCCCTGTTTTTTCCATGTGCTTTTGTACTTACTATAGTCGTAGCCCGTATTTTTCTTTAAAGATTTATTTATTATTTTATTTATTTTTGGCTGCGGCACACAAGATCTTTTGTTGCAGCGCACAGGCTTCTCTCTAGTTGTGGCACACAGGCTCCAGGGAGCGTGGGTTCTGTAGTTTGTGGCACGGGGTCTCTCTAGTTAAGGCGCGAGAGCTCAGTAGTTGTGGCATGCGGGCCTAGTTGCCCCGCGGCATGTGGAATCCCAGTTCCCTCACCAGGGATCGAACCTGCACCCCTGAATTATAAGGCAGATTCTTTACCACTGGACCACCAGGGAAGTCCCTGTAGCCCCTATTTTAATCCTATCTCTTTCTACCACTAAACTATAAGTATTGTGAAGGCAGCAGATACCATACTTATGGACATATATCCCTAGCCCCCCACACAATGAATGTCTGAATTACTAAACAGTTTATTTTTTAAGATTATTACATACCACCATTGCTCTGGAGGAGCTCATTCTTAGGCTTTATTTTCTTTTTCCTTCAGCTCTTTGACGTTGACGAGGATGGCTTCATAACAGAGGAAGAGTTCGCCACCATTCTGCAGGCTTCCCTTGGAGTGCCTGACCTTGATGTTTCTGGTCTCTTCAAGGAAATAGCCCAGGGGGATTCTGTTTCATATGGTGAGTAGGCAGTTTGGCTCCTGATTCGGTGTACTGTACAGTATACAGTGTACATCCAGACTATGACTGACCCTCATACAAGAGTGTTGTTTCCCCCCACTAATATGTTAACAATAGAAGTAATAGTAACAATGATGATGATAGTAATAATAGTAGTAGTGGTGTAATGGTAGAAGCTAATTATTGAGGACTTACCGTATGCTAAGCACTCTTCACACATTTTATATATATTAATTCATTTATTCTTTATAGCAAGCCTATTCAATCAGTACTCTTCATTATTCTTATGTTACTGAGATGCAAAGAATTTAGGTGACTTACCTAAGATCATCTACTAGAGAATGTCAGAGTTGTAGCCACAGTAGAGGGATATGGACTGAGGGACCCACAGTAATAACAGTAGCTAAACCATCTATTAATGTTTCCTGTTAGTGGCTTAGATGAGCTTTCACGTTCATTATCTCACATCATGTTGATGGCACCCCTGTGAGGTAGGGACTATCTTGGAGGAAGACCTTGTGGCCAAGTGGCAGGTCCGTCCACCAGTGACCAGCCTTTCTCCTGATGGCTCGAGTCCACACATGAAGACAAGTCCCCTAAGGGCTGAAGGGATGGTTCATCAGTTTCACAGTGTCCTTGGGAAACACACCTCAGTGGAGAGGCCTCTGCCTTAGCTTTGATATGGTTGTAGATGTCAGCATGGCTTATCTTCCCCAGTCTTCTCTCATGGGCCAGAGGGGGATTCCTCTTGAATGCCTTTTTCCTTCTGGTGTTCAAAGAGTTTCAACCTGATAACTTTCATGGGATGGGGGAATTAGTTCATAGACTTCTCTTACTCTTCTGTTTTTTGTTTTGTTTCGTTTTGTTTTCTGCGGTACGCGGGCCTCTCACTGTTGTGGCCTCTCCCGTTGCGGAGCACAGGCTCCGGATGCGCAGGCTCAGCGGCCATGGCTCACGGGTCCCATATGGGATCCTCCCAGACCGGGGCACGAACCAGTGTCCCCCTCATCGGCAGGCGGACTCTCAACCACTGTGCCACCAAGGAAGCCCTACTCTTCTGTTTTTAATTACTGTCATTTTGGCTGTCCTTATTCTATTTTAGGTAATTAAGTGCACTTATCTATTAAGTTCATTTTTTTAAAAAAAAGGATAAAATGGCAAGTAGATACTTATATAAAACTTAAGAGTGTGGGCTTCCCTGGTGGCGCAGTGGTTGAGAGTCCGCCTGCTGATGCAGGGGTCACGGGTTCGTGCCCCGGTCTGGGAAGATCCCACATGCTGCGGAGCGGCTGGGCCCGTGAGCCATGGCCACTGAGCCTGCGCATCCGGAGCCTGTGCTCCGCAACAGGAGAGGCCACAACAGTGAGAGGCCCGCGTACCGCAAAAAATAAATCAATAAATAAACAAACTTAAGAGTCATAAACCCCATGTGTACTAATGCTCTGACCATTTTCATTGCATAGTTAATACTCTGTATTACTCCAAACTACAAATTTTGAAAAACTATTTGGAATAGCTATTTCAATGGAAGCTAATACTAAGAATTATTTGTAGGTAGTCATATTTTTACCTGTCAGCTTTAATATGTTTTTAGGGAAATCTACTCTGTTTTTTGGAGTTCAACCTTTTTCTTTTTAGAATACACAGAATATCTCCCTTTCCCCAATATTATGCAAGCCCACTTTTTTTTGCAGGAATGTTTGAGGTATTTAAGTATGATTTTATGAAAGAATAGGTATAGAAATGTATCATGAATGTATCCATTTACATTATTTAAATGTGATAGTTTAAATTGTTTTCATTCTTGGTTTTCCTTTAGCCAAATTAATGCCCAAATTCTACTTATTGCCAGTTCTCAGCACTTCTAGAAATGAGTTACTCTTTAATGCCACTAGCATCCCCGAAGAGGACAGAGAGCCTTGATCTTTTGACCAGAGCACAAGTCTTAAAATTAAAGCTCGTGGTTTCAGTAGATCAACACTCCTGCCCACGTATCTTAGAAGTCACTTATGTCCTCTGTATCTCTGTCATTGAAATAGACTCATTCAGATAAATCTTTATTTTGGATGTTAAGAAAGAACAATTAATAGCTTGCCTGATTTGGAAATATAAAGTGCTCTGTCAATGCAAAATAATGTTGTAATTGCAAAGAATGATCTGGGCTCTATCTGGTGACTTCCTCATCACTAAGACCTGTTTTTATCTTCAGGAGTTGCTAGATAGTCTAATGTGCCATGAAGTAGACATTTGGTTATCGGAGGATTTTTTTTTTTAGTGAATGGATAGAAATAGGATATTGGGTTAAAAACCTTTTATTATAGAGTCAAATAGCAAGCTGATTCAAAGACCAGGATCACTTTGCTATATAAGCTCAATAAAGTTTTCTCCGTCCAAACAGAAGAGGAGAGAGAAATGTCAAACTTGAGGGTAGCATCATATTTCAGAAACTCCAGGTTACCGGAGGCTTGGGGTTCAAATTCTGATGGTTAATTTTGTAAGCCTTCTATACTCTACCTCACTTCCTAAATCTCAAACACCTGAGATAAAAGGAGGCCTACTACTCAGGGGTCTTGTGATATGATTAGTGAATATTGTACACTCTACTTGCCCTTACTGATCATAAGTCAGGGCTCAGCTTTTCAAGATGGTTTATTTCTTTACCAGAGTTAAAGGTTAAAATAGTTTTAAAAGCCAGTGATAGAGAGTCCTGGGTAATAAATTTTGTTAACATTTTCTATTACAAAAAAAAATAAAATTACATAAACATAGAGCACAACAAAGTTTTACAAATGAACCCTTGTGTAACTACCACTCAGGTCAAGGAATAGAGCTTTTCAATAACTCTAGAAGCCTCCATGTGCCTATTCCCAAATAGAACCCCTTCCTCTGTCTTAAAGGAAGGAACTGCTGACCTGACTTAAAAAGGAATCTTTGCCTGCTTTGTTTTAGCATTTCACCACAAAAGTACACATCTTTAAATATATTTTAGTTTTGCCTAAGTTTTTGAACTTTACATAATGGTCTCATACAATATGTGTTCCTTTGCATCTGGCTTTTTTCATTCAACATTATGGTTTTAAGATTCATCCACATTGTTACAACACAGCTATTCATTCATCTTCATTGCTGTGTAGCACTTTGTTCCACAAATATGCCATGATTTACTTAGCCATTCCAACTGTTGACAAACATGTGAATTGTTTCCATTTTTTACCTATTATGAATAATGTTGCTATGAACATTCTCATACATGTCTCCCAGAGCACAATGCGCACAAATTCTCTCGCTTATATACCCTGGAATAAAGTATGCATATCTTCAACTTGACTAGATAATGGAAAAAACTATCTCCCAAAGTGGTTGTATAATTTATAGGGGTTGAGTAATAGACTTTTACGATCATTGTATTATTAAGATCATATGTTAATCTGCATCATGCCAAAAGAAGATTCACCTCAATTTATTGGATTTTGTTTTTTCTCCTCTTTTAGAGGAATTTAAAAGTTTTGCCCTAAAGCATCCAGAATATGCTAAGATATTTACAACCTACTTAGACCTCCAGACGTGCCATGTGTTTTCATTACCAAAAGAAGTCCAAGCAACTCCCTCAGTCGTAAGTAATAAAGTCAGCCCTGAAAGTCATGAAGAGAGTACCTCAGACAAAAAGGACAACTGAAAGCAAACATTCCTAATAAGGAAAACGCGGTGGCTTTTACTTGAAATTTCAAAGGCATTTACTGATAGTATTTTATTTGTGATTGAGTAATGATGTTTAAAATAGAAAGCTTTTTTATAAAAAAATGATAGATTTTCTTATTGAAATGCTTCTATTCACATGTGTTATCAAGTAATATTCATTTTCTTTTACATTATATTTTGCTATACTGATGGGCTTATTGGCGATAAAGATGTTTTTATGGATTTTCCAGGTTAATTTGCATATCCAAATGAATGAAATGGTCTCCCTTATTTACTGATGAGCATTAATCAACGCTGCAAAAAGTTTTTAAAAGTATAAATAATTTTTCATTTACTTTCCTCTAAAGAAATAAGGTTAGCTTTAATCCCTTCCCATTCTAGAAATAAGAATGAAGAGTCTGAGGAACGTTGCAGAATTTTATACCTTTAACTTCACAGATTCATTTTTTCCATTTGCATTTCAGTTTCTTGGATCACTAAACATGGGGGGATTGGAAGGGAGAGCTCCGCTAATTAGATGAGACTTCTTAAAAACTCATATTCTCTTGACCATGCATCCCTATTGTAGATTTCCTTAACCACCTGCTAAGGAGATCATAACCTTTTGCATGATCTACAGATTTAGAACTTTGTTTTAAAGACAACAGCTATGGCCAAAGGCTATGTGGGAATTGCCTTATCGAAGGTAACATTAATTGCCTAACGAGAAAAATTGTTTGCCACAGAGTTTAGTTTAATTTGAGTTGGGTAGTTTAGAATGTAGCCCTTGCCCAGTAAATGAATCAGATTTACTTTATTTATATATTATTAGAATTAATATATTTTATCATCTAAGTGGGAGTTTTATTTTATTGTGTCCTCTCAAATTTTAGAGCTTGCCTGAAATATCTACAGGGAAAATACGAAAGGTTCCAAATTATCACCAAAAGCTAAGGAATCCAAAAACCTACTTTATTAATGCAAGACCACAATTTAACCCCCAGGCAAGAATTTAACGGTGATATTTTTTTCCTTTAGGTTAAGCAATAATTTCCCTCAAGTGCCATTTTATTATATGTCACGCATGCTTACTAAAAAGTTTCATCCTTAAGTATGAAGGATGAAACAGTATGATTGTTTGCTTTTTACATATCTTAAGTTATTTAGACAGAGCATTGAATAAGCTGAAAACAATTTCTTAAGTAATTAGGAAAGTACATCTTTATAATATTGGTTGTCATATGCAATTGAATGTATGTTATTACTCAGGTACCATGATTTTTATCACAGAAAACCCACATATTAATCCCATTAATCATGAAAAGGTAGCATTTTAAATCACAAGCTTTCTGTGAGGCTCTTGAAAGTGATCCCATTGTTTTCCTGTTTTAAAGTAATATTTTATGTTCTTTAATTCCACTTCTGCCAATGTAATATTCCTATTTTATTATGTTACTGAACAAACTTGCTACATAAAATTCTTGGCAATTAAAAATTCTGGTTTTGCCATTTTGTCTCAAATGTAATATACCTTTTTAATATCATGGTTTGAACGTAAGTTTGCATATTTATGAATGTGATTAATCATTTTTGTTTGCATTTAAGCCTTATGAAATGTCAGACATAATTTTACTCTAATGAAAGACTCAAATTTTAGCCAAAGCAGCAATAGTTATTATTCCTAAAGAAGTTGCCTTTTGACTGGTAGGGTGTATGTAATAACACAAGTCATGACTGTCAGTACTACTACCAACGAGGCCTCTACTTTTATGCCATCTAAACAAAGATTTCCTTCAAAGAGTTTTTTCTCCTCTTAGAATTTAAAGTAAGAAATTAAATTTAACTAAATCAGTTAAATGCACTGTGGTTTTATATAATAGTTTGAAAAAGCGAGGTTACTCTTTGAAATGAGAAATACTAGATCCTAAGACCTATAAAGACCATAAAAATTTCCATCAGAACAGTTCTATTGAAGGATAACGACATACTGAATGCTTATAGAACAAGTTGCTTGCATTATGCATATTTAATTCTCCTTTGCCAATGCTTTTAGAGTGTTGGAAGGCTGAGTGTGAGCGCTAGTAGTGCTACCTCTAATGGATATTTAAAAGAGCCCCTTTTAGAAGGCACATGGTCTGCTGTCTGCATGAGGCACAGCAGTACAGATATCTGACTCCCAGACTCAGGAGCTCTCCCTTTCAGACTGTTACAGATGCAAGGTGGTTAGTTGATGGCAGTTAATTGATACACCATTGACTGTATTGGAACAAGTGGGCTCTCGACCATAAAGGTCCTTGTGGAATTCTTATAAAGGAATCACTAAAGAGGATTAAAAGACACTAGTAAGAAACCATCCCCTAGGAAAGCATACATATTTATAATTCTTTTTTTCTTTTCTGTTCACTTGAATGGACTTTTCCATTTTTGGTAAATTGTTATACCAGAGTATTCCATCGATGCCATGCTGTGAGTTGATAGAGGTGAAGGCCCTCACAAAGTTCTTGACATATATCCAACATACATATCACGTATACATATCATAAACAATGTAGATGGTATTTATATACTGCTTTTTCACTTGCAATATAACATTTTCCAGTATCATTAAAATTACCTGGAAATGTAAATTTTTAAAAGTATACCTAATACTCCTTCAGAGTATAACATAGTATATAGCTATAACATAGTATATAGCTATAACATAATATATGTGATCATTCTTCAAATATTGAAACTGTGAGTTTGATTTTCATTTTGGGACTATTAAAAATAATCAACTCCATATTCCATAATAGTTTATAATTATGAATAGTTTGCTAAGGGGCTTATTTATACTTACTGAATTCCAAAATGAAAAATTTTTTGGCTAAAGATTTTATAATTATTAACTTTATTTTAAATTAATTTTATTACAGGAAAAAATTGAAATGATTATTTTTGATTCCATAGTTTTAACCTCATGTAGTAGTTAACAGGTTCATGTCTTTTAAAGGTAAGTAGACTTCATCTTTTTGAAGGTATTTTTCCCTTTGTAAAAGTAACAGACTTACTAATTATTACAATATGTAATAATAATAATACTACCAATCTGGCATCCTTACTATGTATCAGGCATTGTGCTAAGTGATTTACAGACATCAACACATTTAAACACTCAATGAAGCATAGGTATTGTTGTCCCTAGTTTTACTAAACAAAATTTAGAACTATCCCTAAGTTACTCATTAAGTGGCGGAGCTTGCAATTAAACCTAATTTTGTCTGATTCCAAAGGCCATGCTTCTAATCATTTATATAAAGCAGCAAAGCTGCCTGATTTATAAACTTTATAGATTGAGCATCTGCCCATGTATTTTTCTACTTGTGGGAAATTTTGACTTAGTTCTTTTTTTATTTTTTTATTTTTTATTTATTTATCTTTTGGCTGCATTGGGTCTTTGTTACTGCACGTGGGCTTTCTCTAGTTGTGGCGACTGGGGGCTACTCTTCGTTGCGATGTGCAGGCGTCTCATTGCGGTGGCTTCTCTTGTTGAGGTGCATGGGCTCTAGGCACACGGGCCTCAGTAGTTGTGGCATGGGGGCTCAGTAGTTGTGGCTCACGGGCTCTAGAGCGCAGGCTCGGTAGTTGTGGCGCACAGTTGTTCCGCGGCATGTGGGATCTTCCTGGACTGGGGATCGAACCCGTGTCCCCTGCATTGGCAGGTGGATTTTTAACCACTGTGCCACCAGGGAAGCCCTTGACTTAGTTCTTAAAGAGAGACAGAGGTAGTTCAGAATGGTTCCAAGCAGTGGCTGAGATGGGGAAAAAGATTGGCCAACCCCAGCCTAGAAAAGTGAACCCTCCTAACCCTCTTCATTGTGGCCCAGGACAGATCAGCTGAAAACCCTGAAACCTTCCTGTAGAAATAGTACAAGTTACTGTAAACCAAAGGTGAGGTGAATGCCAGGGTACTACAGTAAACTTTTTCCTTTGTGGGTAGTGGTGGAGCATGAATTCTCTACTTCTCATGGGTCCCTCTGCTGCAGTGGCCTTTTCTGTCACATCTCTGCTTTCAGAATAAAGTTTATGATCAATAAAGGAGAGTCTGAGGGACCGAGGACCAAGCCAGAATTGCAATATCTAGGACCTTCGTTCTAACTATTGTGAAGCATTCCCTTTGCTGGTCTCCCTGCTTATATTTTTGCCCTCCTATATATCCTCTTGCCATACAGAAAGCGCAAGTATTGTTTGAAAGCATAAACCAGATATCACTTCTCCAGTTAAATGTTTTCAAGGGCTACCCATTGCACTTCGGATAAAATCTCAAGTATTCAACATGACCTACAAGGCCCTGCCTGGTCTGTCCCCTACCATAGTCTAGATCTCCACCATCTCCAATCTCCTCCCTAACTAAACTCCCACCACCCAATCTTTCTTTTCCTCCAACTGATGAAAGTCCCTTCCAACCTCATGGTCTCTGTACTGCTGTTCCCTCTAGCTGGAGTGCTCTTTCCCAAAGATTTTCACCTTGTTTTCTCTTCTTCCTTCAGTCTTAAAGAAAAACAGCTTCATCAAGATATGATTCACACACCATACAATTCACCCATGTAAAGTATACGATTCAGCTTTTTTTTTTTTTTTTTTTTTACGCGGGCCTCTCACTGTTGTGGCCTCTCCCGTTGCGGAGCACAGGCTCCGGATGCGCAGGCTCAGCGGCCATGGCTCACGGGCCCAGCCGCTCCGCGGCATGTGGGATCTTCCCGGACCGGGGCACGAACCCGTGTCCCCTGCATCGGCAGGCGGACTCTCAACCACTGCGCCACCAGGGAAGCCCCTCAATTCAGCTTTTTTAGCATATTCACAGAGTTGTGCAACCATCACCTCTCATCTACATTTTTTATTCTTGACTTCATTCAGATTTTAAATCAAATGTCACACCATCAAATGGGAATCTCCTATCACCTAATCAAAAAGCTCACTCTGTCTCTATGGGCAGTCTCAATCCCATTATTCTTTTTGGTAGTGCACTTAAACTTCTGGGGGGTTTGTTGTTGTTGTTATATATATATATAACAAATATATATTTATATATTAAAATATGTTTATATAACGTATTATTTGTGTATTTATTGTCTTTTATTCATAGCACTAAGAGGGTGTACCTGACAGTGAACACTCAGTATTTGAAGAATGAATAATGATAACATTATCTTTCACTTATTGTGCCTTGTATTGTATTTAGAATAGAGATCATCTTTACAACAAACTTGAAAACCTGGGATTATGATCCCTAAAACTAATATAGAAAATAAGGCTCAGACAGGTTTTGTCACTTGCTCAGAGTTACATAATTGGTGAGTACCAGGGCTGGAATTCAAACCCAAGGCTGCCTGGCTCTAAGTGAAGGGACTTTTGATTAGGCCAAGGTAACCTGAACCCATAAAGTAAGTAAAAACTTATATGACAAGCTTCAGGTTCCAGAAACGTGGAAACTAGATAATCTGAGAACCCTCTGGCCACAAAACCCCTAGAATGTTGAACAAAATATCACCAACATATTTGAAATGTGTAGCTGAGCATGCACAATACTAAGGGAAATGCTCAAAGGCCAAAAATGAAAAGGGAGCTGGACCCCAGAACTGTGTGAAGGCATAAGTTATAGTTGACCTGGGGACATTCATCAATCTTAGTAACAAAGAGGGTTGTATTTTGTGGCTATGGGAAACAAAAGACAAGGTCTTTATATGATATGGGGATTTGGAACTGAGATCTCAGGGGAGTAAAAAAAAAAAAAAGACACTTGAAGGGCTACACCCTCAGTAAAAGAATGAACTGCGAAAATTCATCTTCTGGTAAAGGAAGACTCTGAGGAAATTTTCTGTCCTGGCCTGGGTTCTAGCTTGGGAGAAAACTCCTCCTCTGATAACTTTTTTAAAACTTTCAGTTCTTTTAAATGTTTTGAGACTCATTTTATGGCCCAGCCTATGATATATCTTGGTGAATATCCCATGTGTACTAGAAAAGAATGTGTATTCTGCAGTTGTTGGGTGTAATGTTTTAGAAACATAAGTTAGATCCAGTTATTTGATAGTGTTGTATAAGTCCTCTTTATTCTTACTGTTTTTTTGTCTACTTGTTCTATTAATTATTGAAGAGGGATGTTGAAATCTCCAACTGTAATTGTGGTTTTAGCAACTGTCAGTTTGTCTGGAGTTTGCCATTGGTTTATAATCATTTTCAATTGTTATATAGTTTTGATAAAATAACCTTTTTACCATCATGAATATTCCTCTTTAATTCCAGTAATACTTGTTCTGTTAACATAGCCACTTCAACCACACCAACTTTCTTAGTGTTTGCATGTTTACCTTTTTCTATCTTTTTACTTTATATTTAATATGCATCTCTTAAGTGAGTGTTTTGTGGTCTGTTTGGGTCTTGCTTTTGTATCTTGTCTGACTTTCTTTGATCTTCTTTGATCTTTTTTCCTCCTTTCCTGATTTATTTTGGATTAATCAATATTTTTTGGT